TTCACTTAACAACTGCATGATTCACTTAACAACTGCATGATTCACTTAACAACTGCATGATTCACTTAACAACTGCAGTTAACAACAGTGGCAAAAAGATAGGGATGGTAAAATGGGGTGCAACTTAACAATGGTCTTGCTTAGCCATGGCAATTTGGGGGCTCAATTGTGGTTGTAAGTTGAGGACCACCTGTTACTGCAGGGATTGTAGCTAGCTACTTTTTGAGGCAAGGTGTGTGATGACCTAAGCCAGGAGTCTCCAACCTTGGCAACTTTAAGACTTGTGGACTTCAACTCCCAGAATTCCTCAGCCAGCTTCACTCTGGGAGCGAACTCTGGGAGTGGAAGCCGACAAGGCTTAAAGTTGCCAAGGTTGGAGACCCCTGATCTAAGCTACGGTTCTTCTCAAAAGGTTTGGACCAGTTTGATGAAATCCAGGAAATCACTTGCTTTGCATCCTCTGTTTAGGTTTGGATCCAGCATTACAAGCTTACCCCGTGGAGACATGGGAGTTGACTGGGAAGAGGCTGCTCAGGTTATCCTATCGGGATTTGGAGAATCTAGGCGTGAGCTGCATCGGCCACCAGGAGCTCCTCCTGGAAGCTGTGGAACAGCTTTGTGTCTTGGTGAGTGCCTACGGAAAACAAATCCCGGTGAACCCTCAATGTGGATGGACGATAGCTTTGGCAGGGGTGATATTCACTTACCTTCCCTACTGGTTTGCAAATGTGAGCCCACCTCTGTGCATGCGCACAGCCTTCTGTGATTGCGCTTTTGGCAAAAAAAAAAAGGGGGGGCCTAAATGGGATGCCGTAGAGCTGGGGCAGGTGGGTGTGGCCAGTCACGATTTCTGCTACCGATTCGGGCAAACCGGTCTGAACCAGTAGAATACCACCGATGAGCTTTGGTAGAGAAAAGGTGAAAAGTTGCTTTCCTTACACAATATCTGGGCCTGTGTACTCCTCTCTGTAGAACTATGAGCTGACCACCTCCAACCTGAGGACACTCACCGAGAAGCTGCAAGGGATCATTCGGACGATCGAGGTCTGCATTCTGAGTCGCAGGAAAGTGAGCACTTATCACGGAGCGGCTACTGAAAAGTCCAGCGTGGATCTCCTGGCATCTGTGGTGGAGCTGATCAGTGCTGCTAAAGGCCTCTTTTTATGGCTGAACAGGTACTCACCTATTTGCTTAGAGGCTGGGAAGGCAATGGTGGGATTCAGCCAGTCTCACCTATTCGGGAGAACCAGTTGTTGGAAGAAATCCCCCCCCAACCACTTTACAGGGCTAATCCTATAAGGAAAACAGGAAGGAAACATTCTGGCGTTGTTTCTAGCCTAATCTTTATTGCCCTGCTTACAGAAACTGCCTCTCTGGTTAACCCTTATTACATTGTAACA